CTGATTAGATGTATTCACTAAACTAATGCACATGTTCGATGACGAGGAACCCACTTTGAGACTAATAATGGCTGGAGACGGCTTGAATGGGTAATGAAGAAAAACTTTAATATGAGTTTAACATAACAGCAAATTTACAACGTTTCGACAAGGTACCTGATGATGACAAAACCTTGTCGAAACGTTGTACATTTGCTGTTATGTTAAACTTATATTAAAGTTTTTCTTCATTACCCATTCAAGCCGTCTCCAGCCATTATTATACTAGTAATCTGTTAAACACGCCTTGGGGAAAGTTTAATTTAAATAATACACTATATAAAATAACTAAACTAATACATTATTTTTCAATTTTCCATTATATGTCACTATATGTCATAAACAAAAACTTGTGTTCAATTATTTTATACAATGAAAAACATTTTAAAAAATTATATATTTTTGCCCCAAATTATGTATCATATTTCACATTTTTCTAGAGCAAGAGATTGGTATAAAAATTGTGGTACAGACGTTCTTCATATATGCGATATACATATTAAGCCATACTGATGCGGTAACTATCCAATATCAAGGAAAACTTTCTATCTGTCTGTCTGTAGATGCATCTCTTCCTAAACGAGTTGATCGATCCAGACCAAACTTCACATGCTAACTTAGTAGCCCAAAAGCAAACCAAATTCACATTAAACTTTCCCATAAATTGAAACATTAAAAAATATATATTTTATAGAATAACCCTTATATCGTTACTGCAATAACTATTGTAAATAGCTGATTTTGAAGAAAACTCGCACCATAAAATTCTCAAGTCAAAGATTGTAAAGAAAATTGTCTGCATTTTGGTTTGTTTCCCACAATAACCAAATTATCCAAATTATCAATGTGGCGGATAAAGATATTGCTGTTGTTTAATTTTCCCGCATTTTTTCGATTCACGCGATTTAACTTCCACTTTAGAATAGTTAGAATAAGTGCTTAAGCCAGAATTAATGAAGTATTTCATAATTGAGATATTTCTACTGTATTTCTTACTCCTTGATGTAGAATACAATTTTTCGTAGAAGCAAAATTCAAGATTATTATTAAATTTCGTGCATCATATATTCAAACAGTAGAAATCTTGACTACATCTCTACTGTGAAATGAGCTCCTTTGAACAAGAAGTGATTCAACTACTTTGACATTTCTGCCAAGTTTCTCGACTCGACTTCTACACCTCCTCACATCGATCCATTTCCCCTGTCTTACAAAAAATTTTGGAGAATGAACGTTACTGAAAATCCTCGCAGAGAATTTGTTCATTTTAAGCCATTTTTGTGTGTTTTCTGCATTTTCAAGAGTAAAAAAGACGGAGGAGTGCAGTCTCTTTAAAATCACGTGCAAAACGTTTAAGGTAAGACATTTAAGGTGCATTACAAGAGCTTCAGAAAAAAACCCATTATTCACTAAGAGATTATTTTTACTTGTAGACTTTCACATTTCCTAAAACAAAAACAGCATCAGTGAAAATCTGCCGCTCTGACATTCGATCCTCAATTACAGGTAAATCTGGAAGGCGAACACTTTGAACAGTTGCTTTGAGAAGGAAAAGTGTGCTGTAAAACAATATAAGTGTGCTACAAGACTTGTTCATTCACCTCTAAATGATTGTAGTAAAGTAAGAGATACTGAGGCCAGATGATTTGAAGGTGTTTTCTCTGTCTCAATTTTTGCAGATTTCAATAAATTATTTCTGCTTGCAATAGTTCGGTCAAATTCGATGACGAGGAACCCACTTTGAGACTAATAAAGCTTGGAGACGGCTTGAATTAAGAACAAACTTTAATATAAGTTTAATATAACAGCAAATGTACAATGTTTCGACAAGGTTTCATTAACCATTCAAGCATTATTAGTTCGGTCAAATTCGATGACGAGGAACCCACTTTGAGACTAATAAAGCTTGGAGACGGCTTGAATTAAGAACAAACTTTAATATAAGTTTAAT